TTCTGCTCAATATCCGCCAGATGAAGATCTGTGTTCAACAGTAGTAAAGAATAGCAGATAGTGTGGACAACGTCTGGACTATGTTAGATTTGGGATATACTCTGTAACGGAAGGTGAAAGAAAAGGGAACGCACCGGCAGCTTTGAAGCCATGTCGTGGGTTACACTGGCACCATCTAGTTGAGAAAGCATCCAGCACTCGATCCACCTGCTGCGTCTCGCCCTTGAGCACTAAGCGAGTACAAAGGCTTCGTAGTGCTGCAAGAATGTTCATGTTGGACCAGTCAAAGAGCTCCATGTATGCCTCTCTGATAGAAGCACGACCAGGATCGCCAAGCCAGGCAGCAGCCGGCTCATTGCCTACCACTTGGACTTGACTATTGAACAGCCGCCTTGCTTGATCTCGATCAGAACTCGAGGGGCCGCCTGGCAAGGCGTCGTCAGAGGATTCAGCGGTGTCCTCAATGATCTGTGGAGGCTTAGGATCTTCCGACGGCACCGCAGGGGTGTTGGCGGCTGTAAAGAATTCTTCTGAGTCTACAGGCGAGGCTTGAGACGAAGCATCCGCCTTCGCGGCGGGGATGGATAGCTTGCTGGGCTGGGCCTGCTGGTCTCCACAGGAGTTGGATCTTTGGCGGTGACCTGCAGTTCCCTCGCCCGAGTTGACAGTGGAGGTTTCTATGATTGAGTACTCTGAATCTTCCAGAGGTGACACACTTGCTGGAGATATACTCTCGACTACCGGAGACAGAGCCGGGGCGGATTTCGTCGTCGTTGGGATCATGATATAGGAGGTGCCGTCAGTTAACTGACCGACGATCTCGCCCTCGGAAGAATTGAGGCCATCCTCGACCGCCATTTTCTCCTGCTTTCGATCAACAGAGGTTGAATCCATTTCAGTGGTCCTGGCTGTGGACTCTTCATCTCCGCTGCTGTTCATCAGGAATGATGTATCGTGGCCACTGCCTGCGGTTGGAGGCGGATATAGGCTGTATTTTGATGTCTGACCGCCCTTGGCGGGAGCTGTGGAAACATTTTCTTTCTCGTTCCTTGCGGAGGTAAGGCTTGTATTCATATTTTCTGCATGATCTGCACCTGCGACCCGAATCGGGCCACTATTGGACTTATCACATGCGGCGCCAATGCCATCAGCAAGGTACGGGTTCATCACCTTTCTGAGACTACTGACAGGGCTAGGCTCCGGTTTCAAAATCTCCACAGCCTTGGGGCCTAGTTCCTGAGGAAGAATAATGGGAGGTGGTAGGCTGTCGGTCATAGATATCGACTTCTTTCGCCGACGGAAAAAAGAAGACTTCTTGTTCACCACATGTGGTTGACCTTCGCGGAGTGCATTTCCGCCAGACGCGTTGTTTCTTAACGGCTGTCTGCGGCTCCTGAGACTTCCGCCAGCTGCATTTGTCTCCTTGGTGTCATTCTCTTGAGGTAATGTGCTGTCAGATTGGATGCTTTCCGACAGTCCTGAAGCGGTGTTTTTCGATGATCCGAACACGCGCCGGAAAAACCCCTGGCGCTCCTTGGCAGGAGTTGTGTCTGGCGAGGCCAGTATAGCAGGTTTATTGAACGAAATCGTCGGACTTGGAGCGGGCGGGTCGCGCGATGCTGATATTGCTGGGGGCGGATCCAACCCGTCATCGGCCAGTTTGGCAAGCTCGTTGTCTCCACCTCGCATGACGGAGCTGGTACCAATGTTCTCGGGCCGGGATGTCCTGGCATGGTTATTTCGGGACGATTTGATGCTATTCCGCCGGGAGGCGACCGGTGTCCGCGAAGACTGACTGTTCAAGATACCGGCATAATCATTTTGAGCGGAGGAGTGTAACTTCCGGGGGCCAGCCGGCACGCTGGGTGTTGGAGCGGCGTCTGTATTGTCGTAGAACGTGGAATCGTAATCGGCGGGAATCAAAGGCGGCCTAGTACCGTAATCGAAACTGGCCGACCGTCGCTCCGCAGACGAGTCCGCTCTCCCTCTGATGAGGGCTGGACCGAAGTCGAGATTGGAAGATGAGCTTGCTTTGCTGCTTTTCCTCGTCCCGCGAGTCGTTTGATCGGCCCCGGTGACGGTTCGATAGTCGTAGAGTTGACCTCGTGAATTGGTCCCTTCTCGGCTGCGGGTACTCCCGAACCGTCCCAGGCCGGAGTGATACTGGGAGCTACTGTTGCTCCGGTGACCTCTGGCCGCAGAGGCCGGCTGGGTTCCATAGCGAGTCGAGCTGTCGTCGTAGCCAAAGTCCGCTTCTGATGAAAGGGACGAGGAGAATGTATGGCCGCGATACCGACGTGGTCCCGCGGACTCCTGCGAGTTCCGACCGTACAGTTCGGATTCGAAGACGGAGTTGAAGAGTCGGTAGTCATCGAGAAGCGAATTGCCTGTGGACAAAGCGAACTGATCTAGAGAAAGCAACATATTGTCGACAATGGATGTGCGCGCGGCATGGTTTGGAGACAGGGAGAGGTCATGGGGATCCCGCTCTTCACTTGACTCGTTACTGCTGTTGTTCGCATTGTCGGCCGGATTCGTATCGTCTAGGAAGGTTTCGCGCAACGAGGGACGGGGATGGAGCCCTCGCTTGAAAGGCTTGCAGTTGGACGCTTGTGAAGGCGGTGTTCGTGGGGGGGAGCGATTCGTGTGAGCATCCTTTCTGATGCTGCTCGACCGTACTGGACGATTCATGGCTGAGCTCTTGGTCAGGCTTCGTGTGTAGCGGGATGAGATCTAGATGAACCAGCAACCCGGCAAGGCCTGGGCACACTGTGTATAAAAAGGTGCCACCCGCTACGTCGTCCAGAACGAGGACGCAACGTGACGAGTTCTGACCGGGGGCTTCTCAATCACAATGGCTCGCTGTCTGCGAGTTGGCCATATACATATATTCCTCTTCGATTCAAACCGATCTTCTTCGGGAGGAGACAAAGGTAGGTGTTTGTGAGTGTCACCTATCGGTCATTGCGGAAGCGGGAGCAAAGATGGCCCTGATTCCGCGCGGTAGGGGGAAGAGGAAAAAGCGAAGGTCAATTGAACGAGAGGAAGTCCTTGGGACGACAGATCGCAAGCAGCCGGTGACGTTCTGAGGAGCCTGGCAGTAATAGGGCCGTCGGAGAAGAAAAAGAACAAAACACCATAAAAGACCATGAAAGTGCTAGTCTAAATCAGATGATGATCGGGGAGGGGAACGATGGAGACTGGAGAGCGGACCGTGGAAGCCTCAGGCAAGGGACCAGGAACCGGAACCACCTAAAATCTGAGGGTCAAGGATGAAACGCCGAAAGGGTGCAGGAAGATGGCGATGGATATTAAAAGTTTCCAGATGGGGAGGCGATGAGAACTGAGTTCTCCAATATTCGACCGTCAGACACGACATGAACCTTTCAATGTCGCATGTTGACCAAGTTGTTACTTTTCAGGGGCCGAACATGAGATAATCCACTTGCTCTTGCAAACTAGATTCGGATACGGCTAGAACTGCTTTGTTGGCTGCAGAGGCTTGACACTAAGAATCACTAGTTCTAACAACAACGAAAGTTAAGAGGATTAACACTCTGCCAGTCTGGTTAGATATGGTCTGGCGTCCAGTGTCTGAGAATCTGCATGTCATCTTTGCTGTGTTATGATCCCTCTACTTGTCAAATAATTACATGATGAATTTGTCTAGAATGACTCGCGTGTTGAATACATAGGTAGTAATCGATCTGAGTATCATTCTCCTGTAATTACCTCTCCGAATAGAAAGGTATACCAGGTCATTATCTTACTCAGGTGCGGACCATCGGCCCATCGTTGAACTATTCATCCATGTGGGCTGGTGGGGACCGGAGAGACCAGAGTACCCCAAGGATTATCAAAGGTGGCTACTCCGGAGAGAGGTACTAAAGGAGATAAATCACTAGAACGGAAGCTTTGACTGCCTCAGAGGAAGTATCGCTGTAAGCGAGGAACTGCTTTTTAGAGTGATTACCTAGTTTCAAGTAGAGTTGTTCATGTATCATCATACTCATGCTGCTGAGACGGAGTAGTAGAGAATCGTACGGAATTTGCATTTTTAGGCTACATAGTCTCCACAGGACACATGGTGATAAAATCCAGTACCTAGGTATTGATACATCTCATCTCGTCCATCTCGACTGCCCGAACTCTGTTCCTCTGAGAGTCGTCCATGCAGCCGAATGAATTTGAATCGCCGCCTCTGTAAGGCAGGCATACATCCGCTTGCGACGTGTCAAAACCTTGAATCTTCCATGAATCAAGAATGGCCTTCGCTAATCTGTACGTAGAATCAGCTTTCTTCTTCGATCGATTGTCGAAAACCCATGTGTATCCTAGACGCGTCGACAAAATCGATATCTTGATAGTTCACTGAGATCTAGAGATCTGCGGGAATCAGCTTCAACCTATCGCTCTTCCGCATTATTTCTCTAGTCGCAATAATCTGCTGCTTTCAAATAGTGTGAAGAGAACTAAGTTGTTGGTTCAAATATTTCAGTTCCTCGGCGTTGCTGTCAGGAACCATTTCTGCTCTCAAGCACGCATCTTAGTCCGGACCATGCTTTATTCTAGGCGATCTGGAAGTGTTATGTCAAGACCTTAAGGGTCACCCGGAGCCCCGATGTCAAAAGTCATCGATCATAAGAAATCCAATAAACATCATCAGCGTTTAAACAGTGTTTGAGAGTGTGTGGAATGTCAAGACCCAAGACGTCCACTTTGCATGTTATTGTATGCTCTTGTAGTGTCTCCATAAATGCTTAGTAACGGCGTCAACAGATGACATAACGGCCGACAACGGGAGCAACGCCGACACTCATTTCCACCAAGACAACATCAGCAACAGTTAGCTGTACGGCGGGATCAGTACCGAGCTATCCACCCTTTTCCTCAGTGGACTGCACACGTTGTTCCCCCTCTCAGAGCTTCTGGGAAATTGGGGCATCTTTTTGCAAAACTCTACTACAAGATGAACCCGACCATCTCAGTCCCTCGTCAACATGCCAGCCCTGCCAGCTTTGGCGTCACAACCCCAACGAGTCGCGGATCCAGTATACGGATGCCGCGTTTCTTCAAGAGGTAGGCCTCTGGGATCGGCTATCATCAGGATGTCTGCGACCGGATAATGCTGATAGTCGCTTGTCTCTCTCGGTGTGAGCATGGCTGACCGTACCTTTGACGGAGCAGGCTATTCAAGTTCCCGCAGATGGACTTTGAAATGGCAATCTGGGAGATGACATCACTATTGATAGCTCCTAAGAAGGTGTTCAAATCAATCTACTATCATGTACGTGTTGTCTCTCTATCCATGTTGAGTTCAGCCTGGTAATTGTTTGCTAAATGTCATGGCCGATTGGTAGAAACGTACGTTGAACGCGCTTCCCCTTGTTCGAAACTTCCGGACCAGACCGTGGGCGAGATCACAGGATCAGCACAGCTAATCGTCTTTTAACTTATCGGTACAGAAACCAAAAACACCTGGCACCGTCCGGACCCCTCCTTTACATATTTGCTCTCCTTCTTCCTCCTGCTCACTGCGCTCGCATGGGGCCTGGCTTATGCGCCGGCCTTTGGCTCGATCATCCGCCTGTCGCTGCTCTTTATCTTTGTCCACTTCATCGGTTCCTCGCTGGTGGTATCGACAATAGCCTACTTTGCGATCCCACGACTGTTTGGACCTGACGGAGCGGCGGCATCCCTGTCCGGATTCAGAGGGTCTCGCGGGCGGAGGCGCGGCGCGGCACAAGGCTTGTTTGTGCAGCCTGGGGAGAAGGATCAACTGGAGTTTGGATACTGCTTTGATGTGAGTTTCACTCCCGACGGGCCTGGATTGGTCTATCGGAAAATGGCAACCCTATCCCGGGCAGGGCTGGAGCTGACTTCGGGGCGTCCAGGTGTCGAACCGGTCCTTCTTCCCTCTATATCTCCACCTCTATGTCGTCCAATTCCTTCTTCTGCCCTTACTCACCCGCAGTCCGAGCAACTTCCTCGCTACTTTCCTGGGAAATACGCTCTATCTCTCCGCGCTGATCTACTACACCTACATTACCTTTCTGGGGTACAATGCTCTCCCGTTCTTACACAACACCGAGCTCCTCCTCCTCCCGATCCTGGTCTTGTCCATCCTGTGGCTCGTAAGTCTTATTGCTGGCTGGGGGGTCGTCATGCATGGTCACAGCGTGGAGTGGTTGTTTTGGGGTGTCTGATGCTCTTGAGGTGCTCGAATTGACACCATCGTGCTAAGATAGCGTTCATGCGTTGACTGATACATGCACTGTTCATATATATCCCGCTTTTTCCTCCCTCTGCTCCATCGAGCTCAGAAAATAGGGCGTTGGTGTACATGGGTGTCATTTGGTTCGTTCTGGTTTTTGTTTGTCTTTCGTGATTTGGGTGCATAATCTGCATAACATGGCATGTCGTGATGGTTTTCGGCTGGTTGTGCCTCTTCCGTTGTAAATAGATCATTCACCTGCTTATGGCGAGTTTGTTTGGTGTGATCATCCACTCAGTTCTATATCGATTCCGTGTTACAATAATTGCAAGTGTCAAATGCAGAGAGGATGCCGAGCATGCAGTCATTCCTGTAACGATCGTATCTGTTCAAAATGTCTAGAGCGAGTATATACTCAAAATCAACCAGAGAGATATATTGCCGATATTGTCCAAACCAGATAAGACAGGTTTCATTGCGTCATTTCAGCGTGGGGTCGCAGGTGGGAAAACGCTCCAACAGCATCATTAATTCTTCTTCGGGCCTCCCTTCTTCTTACCCTTGGTCTCCTCGCGGCGCTTCATCTGCTCCTCGCGCGCCGCCGCCTTCTCCCGCGCCAGCGCTGCTTTCTCTTCCTTCTCGGCCTCCTTGCGCAGCCGTTCGGCCTCGCGCTGCTCCCGGATGAGGGCCAAACGGGCCAGGTCCGCCCGCGCCTCCTCCGTCTTGCCCTCGGCGTGCAGTTTCATATACCGCTCCCGGGCCTGCTGCGCCTCAATGGCCTCGCGTTCCCGCCGGGAGAGCTGCGAGAGATCGCCGCCAGGGGCCTTTCCCGGATCTCCCGCAGGATCCTTGTCGAGTTGCGAACGGGACTTGGCGGTGTGGTTCGGGTTGGCGGGGAGGTCCTCGTCGTCACCGTCGTCGCTCTCATCTTCCTCCGAGTCCGAGGGAGGCAGGTCGCCCGGTTGCGCGGCGACGTTGTTCCGTCGCGCGATCGCGGCTAGCTTCTTCGCCTTGGCTGCGGCGCGTCGTTCCTCGCGAGTCATTGCTGCTGCTCCTGCTGATGATCCGGCAGCGGAGCTGGGCCCTGCCTGTGCGTTATCCTCGTCCGACGACTCCGCCTCGGAACCGGAGGATTCTTCTGATTCATCCTCTTCGACTGATGAGGGAATGTCGTCGCCTGGTTCCTGCACGACAGAGCAGCGAAGGGATAAAAAGTCAGAGTCTCATTCCTGCAGATACGATGGGTCTGGTCCCCTGGAGGAAATCTAAGAGGCACGTACCCGCCAGAGACCAACGGGATTTCCATCCTTGTCTACCGGTTGCACATCGCGACTGAAGCGCTTGCCCCCTGCGTGTCGCGAAGAGAGATGCATCAGTATTCACGAGTCATATCCCCTTGTTTGTTCTCCCGGGTCGAAAGGAAACCTTCAATGCGTCACCTACCTCCTCTGCTGGGCTTGGAGAACTTTCCGCCGCGACCGCGGGGTGCCATGTTAAGTAGAGATGCGGGAAGCAGCGTAAACTGCGTATAACTTCAGGAGTGCAAATGGCTGTAAAGAGCTGAATAAATCGACACTGCCGATTAGCAAAGTTCACACTATCTTGAGCTGCTATAGACGGGATATGGTTGAATGGAGGGGCAGAGCGGGAGAGGGACAGAAATTGGAGACGAGAAGCTCACATCTTTTTGAGAAGCAAATACGGCACCACTCCCTGAATGATCGGAGGAAGAGGCTAGAGTGGCAGCAGAGAATCCCTTAGAGATAGACTCCGCAGACCAAAGAGAATGGCGACGTGCAAGTTGAATGTTTGAGTCACGCAGAGGATTTCCCAGACGGGGAGAAGAAGCAGAGGAGAGACAGGTCCACCGCCAAACGAGGGAGGATGACCCCTCACAACATTGGATAAACTTCATATCATTTAGCTACAATAACCACCAAGATGGTCAATCAAATCTACTATTATTTCATGAGATCACGCCCAGCGTGATATGGGCCTGCTTCTTCATTATTTTTCTTCCTCCCAAGATCCAGTCAACAGCAAGCTCCTTGACTGAGTTCTACATCCGATGCCATGTGAATCCCAGTTTCGCTACTCTTGCAGCGATCAAAGTCAGTGTACCAGCTAGAATAGTACTGCCCATGAACATCTGAGCGTAGAGGTAATGTCCCCCGGCCGTCTGGACCAGGGCTCCCGCGATCGGAGACCCGATCAGCGCTGCAACTGCGACCACGCTGAGCACCATGCCCATTCTCACTCCGGCTTTCTTCAAGTCGGTGGTCAAGGAGGTCAGAGTGGCTGGGAATAGCGACTGGATGCCCGCGGCCGCCAGACCATAGAAGGCGCTCCAAGCGTATAACCCGTGAATCTCGTCCACCCCGGCCCAGCAGAAGGCGATCAGACCGGTGACTAGGCTGAAAGGGATCAGCATGTTCAACGGACCGGTATACCAGTCGGCCATGGTGTTGGGGATCACCCGACCCAGGATGCCGATGCCGTTCATGACCAGCAGGATATACACCGAGGTGGTCTCGGAGACCCCGACGATATTGCGGCCAAAACTGCCAATGTAGAAGAAGCCGACATAGAGTCCCCAGAAGTTGAGGAACATCCCGATGGCGAAAAACAGGTACGGCAGCTCCTTGAAGGCGCCCCATTCGACCAGCGGGCCGCTCTTACGGGGCGGCAATCGTTGTTTTAGGAAGACCACCGGAGGGATGAGCGTGGCCAGAGTGATGAAGCCCAGAACTCGCATCGTCCAGCCGTATCCGACCTGTGGCAGCAGGCGCACGACGACCGCTGGAAAGACCAACCCTCCCGTCGCCGATCCGCAGGCCACGATCCCGATGGCAAGGGCCCGTTTTGTGGTAAAATAGGTGGCCATCAGGGCTACGGTCGGGCAGAACATGAGACCGCAACCGATTCCCTGACCGACTCCCTGGGCGAGGAACAGCTGCCAGTACTCGGTGCACAGCGAGGTCATGAAGATGCAAAAGACTTCCAGCAGCGCTCCTGTGGCCAGAGTGACTTTGAAGAAGCCGGCATCAGTCGCACGGCCAGACAGTGTTCCAATGAAGAAGAGCAAGAAAATTTGGATGCTGCCAACCCAGGAGATGTCGGAGGGAGGCCGGCCCAAGTGCTCCGTATAGTACGTCTGGAAAACACCAAACCCATTGATGTACCCCCAAGTGTTAAAGATGACAAAATGAGCCAGGAGGACCTGGGTCCAAGCAAAGACGCCTCCATCAGGAGGAGGGCCGATATCCTTTCCGGATTCTCTGGTCCGCACAAGCGACAAGGTCCGGGCAGCCAATGTTCCGATCTGACTGGTATTGGTGCCGGTCCTCGAGAGCTCCTTTGATCGAGGATCGACACCGTTGTTCACACCAGACTCCTCATCGTAGGGCAAGCCTGCCAAAGGAACAAAGCGGTCACTTGTGGTATCCTCGAATTGCGGATCCGCAGAATCTTTTTCGTTGACCGGGACAGCGTCTGGAGGCTGGTCTTGTGCCATCACCTATGGATGTATTATCAGTAGACATTCGAATGAGAAAAAGAGATAAGAGTCATGCTCAGATACAACCATACCTACCATATCTCAATGACTCAAAGCACCTCACCCACGACGAAAGCGGAATCCGACTGGAGAAAGCGACTACAGTAGACAAGACAGCTGGAAGGCTGGTTTTCTTTCGTGTTTGTTCTCTGATCGATCGTAAGGACAGTGATGATCTGTCTAAGTTTCTCGAGCCAGGATTTAGTCAACGACCCTCCATGACTGGATTTTTTTTTTCGGACCTTCCAGTGGTTCGCACAGAAGACCGAAGTCGAGTCATCGTAAAGTGTCGGCAACCACATCCGAGAGATGAGGGGCTGTCCACGACGATCTTTCGTGAATCGTGGAGGGGCGAGTCTGAGATAACGAGATTCTATCTTGGATTTTGTCGAGTGAAGACGGATTGTAGCTTGTTCTTTTATTCCTTGTCAACTGGGTACCATACTGCGATGTTCGCCCTGACACTGATGGTTCGGAAATGTCCCCATTTTTACGTTCCAGATGACTGCTGAAAGGTACAAAAAGAATAGATGGTATGGACTCGCTATTCACGTACGCGCTTTGTATATCTTCTCATAATATAGTAAAATTGTTTTCGTCTTCCCAACATCGACTATTCTGTAGAACAGATCTACTTACCATCTCCTGCGTAACCGTGCATCCGATCCGACTGGGCTTATCCGATACTACGATCCGATTGGCACTCATTGACTTCTTGTCAACAGAGAGAGGAAGGTTCTGGGGTCTAGTATCCAAGGGAAGAAAGTTCGATCTCATATCTCTATCTCTAACAGCCTATATTCAAAGGCGTACCTGTCTCTCCGCCCTCTATCTATAGTAAAGTCGATGGAAACCAACACAGAAAGTCACAGCCAGCCGTCGGAAGAGCAAGGCGGAACAATAATGGAAAATAATCTGGATCGACGAAGAAGAAGAAGAAGAGGAGGAGGAGGAGGAAGAAGACGATGCGGCCTCACAGCGCGGAAGATGCAGACAGATGTCAGGAACCTCTCCACATGCACTCCCTCAAACAGCTTCCTCCTGTTGCATGCTCGGACGGCTGATAAGTCCTCGACCCTCGGCTTGTTCTACATTCTCCCCGGGGATCAAGAAGACGAGATCATATATCGCTAGTGCAAAGTAATCAAATTTCGTTAGAACGTGATTTTGCAGCCAAACGGCCAAGCATGGCACGACCAGCCCTGCCTCACATCGTCCCTAGTATTCTTGCGCAGAAGAACTATTGTTCAACATCGAAATCGTCCCAATCACGTCAGCTGGCTCAAGGAGGTGCCAGCTGGCTTCCGTCTGCTTCGAACTGGCCCCAACGGTAACTGAAAACACATGCCCAACGGGGAGGTCGGACTTCTTGAGCGCACGGAACATGTCTACAACAAAAGTTAACCAAAAGCCAGAACCGAGCACTCAACCGGAAT